GCTCTACCTGGTCAAGTGGCTAGGCTATGATGGGACTGACAAGGAGACACAATGGCTCCTTGCCAGCGAACTCGATCATGCCTCTGACCTCGTCGAAGCGTTCCACTCTTGGTACCCAGACAAGCCTGGTCCCGAAGCCCCTTAGGAACCTTGACTCCTCTCCCATCTCCCCTTCCTCTCCACTCCTCACTTCCGTTTTCATTTTTTTTCTGTAAGTACAGCTCCCCTCACCTTACTAATTCTGGGCCTTCAAGGTTTCAGGCCTAAGAAGGGGATACTGTCATATCCATCCATGGCCATCAACTTCCACTACCTCCGATCCTTCCAGACTACCTCCACTCCTTCTTCACTAACCTTGGAGCTCCCATATTCCACAATCACCTCCACTTCCCTCAATGGTCACCACCCCCTCTTTTCAATATATTACCTATGCCTCCCTAAGTATGGAGCCCTGAAGGCTTCCGGACAGCTCCAACGTCTGCTAGTGCACTCCCACCTCTGCTGGGCAATTCACTTGCTTGCCCTGCAAGTCCACCTTTGGGCCTATCCCTCCTTTCCGTTTCTGGATTATTGCCTCCCATTCTGCTAACCCCATAATCTGACTTGTCAGTAATATTCAATTGGCTAATGTTTAACTCCATTAGCTCCACTCTGCTCAGCCCTGCCATTCATGGGCCCACCCTTGCTGTAACTATATATACTTTACTTGTACATAGGTTACACTTCAGTGATAAAATCAACTAGAGTTGATCCCTCTTTAGTTCTCGTTGCCAGTAAGTAAATTAGGGCACAGACTGTAACTTGGCACAGTGCTCCTGGCTTGAGTCACTGAGGCCGAAGCCCTCCGCCATGGAGACAACTCCTTCATCTCGATCTGGTCTCTGACAGTTCCACTCTGTGCATCTGCGCCAGAACGTTCAGCATACAGTCTGGAACCAAGCAAGCTGTGGTCTGTGGTGAGGGTGTCATTGTGAGATGGTCCCCCATGTGGCTGAGATGAGCGAGACCTGGGTAAAGCGGCATTGAGCTGATGGTGCCATAGTGAGATTGTTATGACATGGGCACAAGCAAGGTGTGGGCAGTAGGGTGGGCAAGATAGCAATGGGCAGGCAGGAGAACAATCACTGCATGGCTGTGGTAAGCACTGTCCCATGATTACTGTACTATAATGACCATAGGTTCATTCCCACGGTTTTCAGGGATTGCCATCTGCTTGTGTAGTTCATCCCTCAGTGTGACATGTGCCACACATCACATGAAAATCTTAAACTGAATTGATTTGCTGATTCCAGCAACTCCTGGATTCCATGGGAACCAGTTGTCAATACATTTATCTGTTCAAAGTCTTGCATGACAAAACCTACTTTAGTTCAGTTCACAGTTTGCATGTGACATGTGACTGAACCAACGGTTGTTATAGTACAGTAGTCTCGTGAAATGTGTCATATCCATCCCTGGCCATCGACTTCCGGTCCCTCTGTTCCCTCCGTTCTAACTCTGCTCCTCTCTCACCAACCTCGGAGCCCCGTATTCCGCAAACCTCTCGGTACCCCTCGATGGTGTCAGGGACAGCTCCGAAAGCGGCGAGGTCCCGGTGCGAGGGACTTGATGGGACAGATGTCGGCTATGCGTAGCGGCGGTCCCGTCGCAGGGTGAGCATCCCCGACCACTTGGTCTGAAGTGGGAAGTTGGTTTATCATTAAAAGGAAGAAGCTATGGTACTTACCTGAAGTGGGAAGTTGAGAAGAAGGCTGCTTCTTCTGTTCCCACCCCAGGCGCTATTATATACATGCGGTCAGGGTCACGTGGAGGAGGCCACGTCATCTCCACACACACAGCCGCACCTCCCCGGGTGTCTCCACAGGAGATCCCGGAGGTGGCCGCTCGGTAGGCAGGAGTGCGCGCGGCGCGTGTGGCGATCGGGGGAAAGGGGTTAGGTATGTAGTGGTACATAGAGAAAAGGGAAATCAACCGTAGAATAAAAAGAGAGAGAAAGGGGAAAAGTGAGGAAAGAGACTTGGGGGGTGATATCGGGGGAGTGGAGTAGGGTAGTGTGGCACGGGGCGCGGGGTTGGGCGGGTGTGCCCTGACAGATGGTCACCACCCCCTCATTTCAATTTATTACCTACGCCTCCCTAAGTACGGAGCCCTGAAGACTTCTGGACAGCTCCGACGTCCGCTAGCGCACCCCCACCTCTGCTGGGCAATACACTCGCCTGCCCTGCAGAGCCCACCTTTGGGCCTATCCCTCCTTTCCATTTCTGGGTTAACGCCTGCCTTTCCGTTAACCCCACGAACCGACTCGTCGGTAATATTCAGTCGGCTAATGTTCAACCCCGTTAGCTCCGCTCCATTCGGCTCTGCCAATTGTGGAACCGTCTCCGCTGTAACCATATATATATCCCACTTGTACATAGGTTACGCCCCAGTAGTAAAATCAACTAGAGTTTCCCCCCTAGGTTCTATTTGCCAGTCAGTAAGTTAGGGCACGGACGTGTCACTAGGCACAGCGCTCTTGGCAGAAGTCGCTGAGGCCAAAGCCCTCCGTTACGGAGACATTCCTTCGTCTCGAGTCTGGTCTCTGACAAAATGGGACAACAAAAAAATGTAGGACCTGCTACAGAGTAGCAGGACTTTCACTCAGTTCTATATGTCCAAAGCCAGCCAGAAGCAGTTTGACTAGTATATATAACAAAAGAGAGGAAATTGGAACCATCTCTTTCAGATCTCTAACTCAAGTCTGAGGTGAAAACAATATCATTCTTACTCTTCCACATATCACAACTCATGCATTACCGATGCTGCAGCTAACACAACTGTAAGGGATTAACCTTACTTCACTATAATTCCGATTATAGTGATGCTATTATTTCTTTATTTATTTGTGCCAAGATATGTAATTTACATATATATACCTCGGAGTAGTTGTAAAGGCCCGGTAGCCTTTTACCTCCACCCTGTTGAATATACAGCACATTAAAGCATATTTTTAGACGGAATATCAGAGGCCTGAGGCAAATGGGGGAACGGAACATTACTGTCCCCAAAATAGTAAGCAACCCTTCAACAACATAGGTATCTATAATACATTAGATCTCTTCTTATATTTTTCATACTATAGCCTCTATAGATTTGATGTAGCCTTCACCCAGCTTGGTGTCTCCTCACCAGGTCTAGTAACCATCATTGGAATTTGTACAGGTGCTACCCCATGGAAGATTTGTCTACAGGCAGCGTCTGCTGCGGAATTGGGTGAGCAGCGCTTTGCTCTCTTGCATATCCAGTTGAAAGACTTCTCACAATGCGAGGAGTCAGATGGCATTGAGGAAGTGATGGGCATGCATCCAGTTGGGAGGAATCAGACACAAGATCCAAGTTAGCTACACCATTTGAATCATGTGATGGGTAGTCCTGATGTGGGATGATTCGCTCGTAAAATAGCAAGAATGTCCCGCTTGTCTCGCTCAACACATAGTTGATGCCAACCTCATCAACCGAGTCATCGCTTATCCTTAGCCAATCTTCGTTCGTTGTGGAGAGGAGCGAGGGAAGCCATGGGGATAAAGGTGTACCATGGCTCGGTTTCCGTCGGTAAGCGATATAATGACCGAAACTGTGGGCACCATAATGGCAGACGGTTGCAGCGAGTCTGTAAAGAATACGACGGGAGTTTTGGTATGTGGAGAGCCTCAGAGGAAGGCTGGAAATGGGAGAAGACGGGAGAACAGATAATTGACCAGAAGTGGTGAAAGGCGTGAGGTCTAAAACCTCAGGGAACTGAACACGACAGGGGTTTTTCGCCGCCGAACCATGGTATATGGAACGGTTAAGATGGAGTACCAGTATCTGAGGAGCCTGGGAGAGAATTGATTACAAATAATTTCCGTAAACACGCAACTTACCCGTGCGATCATGACTTGTTTGCTCGCTCTACTAACTACCCGCTCTACTTTCAACCCCCGGATGTCCTCCTCAATACGACCCTCGGTAAGCGCAGCTTTCAACAGGATTTCCAGTTTGCGCATCTCACGCACTCTTTTCTTGGTGCTCTTGCCGCTAGTCTTCTCGTCGCTCCCACTGTGTGCAAGCTCATGTTGTATGCAGGTGTGCATGGCTACTAGTGAGCATTTCCGACAAGCTGAGTCAGTCAACACTTCCAACCTAGTCAAATCCGCGAGGCAGTCCTGCAGGGTTATTGAAGCCTGTGGAACGACATAATAAGCCTCCAATATGAAAACATTGGGGAAACAAAAGATAATCAGTTTAAACGGGAATAAACGTACAGCGAATGGCAAAGTAAGCTGGAGATTGTCGAAACCAAAATGCATCACCGCCTCTGTATACCCACAAACCATGCAGCTCCTACGATTAGCGGTCAGTCCATCGAAGACGGATTTTGTGACGCGGATTGGGCTAAAACCACCACGCGCAGAATCAGAAATAAGTGCCGAACTGAGTCCTTGCTCTCGTCGAACCTCCCGATGTACCGCGAGCGATTCATCCTTCATCAGACTTGACAGCAGCTGGAAAAGCTCCTGCGCATCCTGGTGTTCGCGGGACGAGAAGAGTAGGCTGCGCTTACCATCATTGGAGGGCGCTGAGAGAACATTGATTATCTCGATAGGGCGGTGAGATGTCCGAGAACTAGATGGCGTGTTGAGAACTGAATATCCGAATCAGGTCGAATGGAGCATGAAGAAAAGAATGATCCTGACGTTTTAGAACATTGCGTACTGCATCTGTCACTGGGGTCGGGATATCATGAGCCTCCGCCCTCGAGTACACCTCCTCGACATGAGGTTGAAGATACGAGAGAGAGGAGAACGCCTAATCAATTAGTCAGAACCACGAACGTGCCGTAGCCTTCATCTCACACCTGTAACACTGAGTTCATGAAGCAGTATGTCCCCGAGACATTGACAAGCCCAGGATACCATTGATGGTCTTGTGACTCTGCGGTAAATTTAGCTGAAGGTCATGTATGCAGAGAGTGCAACTACCTGTGGGATGACGTCCCAGTAGTCTGAGGCCATCTCTGGAACGTAGCTCAACAACATTGTCGTTTTTTTCACCAGGAACATCAAGGTCATCTCCATTAAGCCTTAGAATGTTCCCTATCCAGTCCATAACATAGCTTAAACCCAAATTCTCAAACAGCATATTGGCAACAGAGGCAATGTTCGAAAGTACCGCAAACAGCACCAACCCAGCGGCTACGAAGACAGGTAAGATGGAGTGGGACTGAAGGAGGATTGATAGAGGATCTGGGCCGTAGTTCATAGGATTCTCGGCATAATGGGTCAAGCCGCTGACGTAAAGGACATTTCCCACCCTCATATATATATCGATGTCCGTGCTGCTGGAGACATCCCTGGGGGATATTGTTATTGACCTTGAGGTTGAAGCATGCCCGAGGACATGCGAGAATTTTCTCAAACTGTGCAAGGTCTATTACTACAACCTAAACGCATTTTTCAATGGTGTGTCCCTTGTCGCCATTTCGAAACGTCAGGGCCTCATGATATATTCAGTCTCAAAGGACTTCTTGGCTCAGACTGGCGACCCAACGGCAACTGGTACAGGGGGCGAATCTTTTGAGTCATATCTAGCCTCGAAGGTGCCTGGATCCACACCTCTTTCCTTGGCCCGCTATTTCGTCCCTGAAATCTTGCCACGGCTGAAACATGCCCGCCGAGGAACCGTATCTATGGCTGTTGCACCATCACTTGATAGCAAGAGCATTGGGGGATGTGGCAGCCAGTTTTTCATCACACTGGCGGACGATGTTGACTACTTAGATGGGAAACATGCCGTCTTCGGTCGCGTCGTTGAAGGATTTGACACGCTCGAGAAGCTTAATGAAGTGTTTGTTGATTCTCAGAATCGCCCTCTTAAGGACATTCGTATCAGGCATGTTATCGTTCTAGGTATGGGTATAATCCCTTAGCCCTGAAGCCCTTATTGACGCCGAGGGCTCATCGCTTTCAGACGACCCTTTCCCGGATCCCCCTAACCTCGTCGTTCCGCCGGCCTCCCCAACTATTGCTCCAGACAGGGATCTGGAAATGGTTCGTATTGCCGAAGATGAGGATCCTCTCGAGGTGGTTCCCGAGGAGGAGGCTGAACAAAGACGACGCCAGAATGCCGCCAAAGCCTCGGCTCTGACCCTGGAAATGGTTGGGGACCTTCCCTTTGCAAACGTTCGACCACCTGAAAACGTTCTTTTCGTTTGCAAATTAAACTCGGTCACTCGTGACGAAGATCTTGAGCTCATTTTTTCAAGATTCGGAAAAATTATGAGCTGCCAAGTGATCCGCGACAAAAAGACAGGTGATTCGTTGCAATACGCATTCATTGAGTTTGACAAACGTGAGGACGCTGAGCAAGTATGTGCATGATCCAATGGTTGTTGATGGCTTCAGTGACCATCTCCCCAGGCTTATTTTAAAATGCAAAACGTGCTCGTTGACGATCGACGCATCTGGGTAGATTTGTAAGTAACCTGAGCTCTGACTCCAAAACGTGTACTCACCTTTCAATTGCAGCTCCCAATCCGTCGCCAAAATGAATACAAGCTGGCACAGCGCATCCAAGTCTTCCAGAAGGATCACCGACACTCGAAGGCACGACTCTGGTGGCTTCGCAGGGAGGTCAGACTTACAAGCGACGTCCCGTTATCGGGAATCCGCTCCAGGCAGTAAGGACAGTGGTGGCTACGAATATATATTTGACACTTCTCCTAGTGGAAAGGGACCACTGCGTAGTTTCAGGCGGAGTTCGCGCTCAAGGTCACCTCGAAGGGATGGCAGGGATTACCATGAGCGACGCGAACGGGATCGTTCGCACGAGAGGGAATTTCACCCGCACGAGAAGGATAGGGGAATACATCGTCGATGAACTTTATGTAGATATAAGTAGGTTTGGCAGACCGAGCAATCACTTATGTAAATCAATTGGACTGTTCTGATGAATATTGTACTTTTATTTGCGCCGAGGCGACTTCCGGCTCTCGCGGACAGTCATGGCCGGCCCAAATGCGTTGTCGCTGCTTGGAATCAGTAAACGAAGGAAGATCAGGATACCTAGGGCGTTGGCTTCTTCAACCATACTTACTGGAGACACTCGGAAGTAGGACTTGATCTCCATGGGTGTATCCTCGCTGACCTCGCGCTTTGCCCAGATGCCTCCAAACACTGGCTGGGTACAAACTTCCTTCTCCGCCCGATCCAATTTATCCATTATCGAGGAGTGCCGCCGTATTGGTTGCATTGTTTGTCGGACGCAGTGGCGACTTGTATGTGCTGCTTAGCAGGTATCAGGCTGTCTTTCCATGAAGCCTTGGACGGAAATAAATATCATTTCTAAAGACGGGCTGAAACCCTTAGAAGCTTCCCTGGAGACACATCCCTTCCGGGAGGCCGTTTTGAGCCTGGGGATCGCAATTTGGAGGACACGGCAGTGAGTACGACATGTTCTTCGATCATTAACACCACGTTAAAGTTTGTGTCCATTCTCCATTTAGCGCCGTGAGGCATTTGAGGAAGTACGCCCGTTTCCTCTTCATCCTCGAGGTATCTCCACGATTCCGTTACACAGATCGGCCTACCCCAGGACCGGTATCGCATTCCGCTGTTGTGCTACCTCCAACCATTCCGTCAGCTCAACACACCCAAAGATTCGTATCGTGCCCTGACCTTTATATCTAGTCATTGGAACCCATTTGCTGGTCACTCCGTATGTCTCACCAACAAGTTTGACACCATGACATTGAACATGACCCGCTAGCGTGGTGGTACTAATTCTGGACCCAGAGGTTCGAGTACGTTCGTAGTTCATCCATATAACTGATTGCTCTACAATCTTAACCTAGCCCATCCTCAACGAACCAGAAGTTAGTGCTTTGTTTTCCCACCCTCTTCACGCCTTTCTTCTCCGCGACGCCCCCTTTGCAAGATATCACTTGCCGCATTCTGAAGCCCATCCACACTCCCCAAACTTCCTTGCTCGGCACCTCCGTACAATCCCCATCGATAATATCCACGCAGTAAAACCATCAGCCCCAGACCTTCCACCAATACCTCTATATGCTAATGGTGGTCCAAGTAGCATCGAACCTAGCCCCAGCATCCGGCAGATAGAGGCTCCGAATTCTGAAGGAAACCTTTCTGCCAAGGCAGAGGCCAATCAGCGAGCGTATACTGGGTGGAAGAGAATGAGCTCGGATCAAATCGAGGATGATGCGCACGGGCATGAATACTACTCCTATCGAGATATTGCATGGGGCCAGTCGAAGGTCCGAATGCACAAATTCCTCACCGGAAGAGAAGATCTTGGAGTAAAACCAGTGACAGGACTCACCGCGTATGTCCATTTTCAAATACCGCCGTTCTCTCACCCATTTAATTTCAGAGCAATCTTGCTGCACACTGCTATGGTGGGCTATCAAAAAGAACCCGAATTCCTCCCTCACGCTCCTGGGGAGCTGTCGCAACAAGATCGTATTGCGTATGCGCTGCGCACAATTCCAGTATTCACAGAGGCCGTCAAAAGGGCTAAAGAGGAACTAGACATTGCTCGACGTGGTAGACTCCCTAAGCCTAGCCCTTCAAGCAAGCCCATTGCAAGCCCAGCGCCACCTAGAGCTTTGACTCACACGAAATATAAATTGTAGAACTGCGAGGATTCGTTCACGTTTTCGGGGGTTCGCAGGATGTTATATTATGAAGATCCCCTTACAGTATGGTATGACAACGGTCCGAAGCAAACAGAGCCAAGGGAATTCTTGATGAAAGCACAAGAGTGGATGCGGGCAGTAGCAAATAAGTCAGATAATATTAATGTGGCAACCAGTGACGACGTGACCAAAGATCCGGAGTTAGCCTAACTGGATTTGGTTATTTTACAAACTCTCGCCCATTTGTCCATGGTATTTATCCGACACGTTCCTTTACTGCACAACGTGTAGCCGAAAGTGGCGAAGAGAATGTGACATGGCCCCTCAAACTGAGTGCATGGGTTTGGGATGCTGACGTTAGGTGAGATGGTGAAGGGGTGGCACGAACGGCATATTGAGAATGAGCTAAGTTTAGGACACCGGGGGAGTAGGGATTAATGATAGTCGGTGTTCGAGGCAGCAGAGGTAACGGGGCAGACTTCCCAAGCGGAGTCGATTTAGCCTTGGCCTTCGTACCCCCAAAAGCTGCGGAATAGTCAGGTGGCGGAGGTAACAAACCCCTACTAGGCCGGGATTTATAATCAGGAGCATACTTCAGGTATGTCGCAGGTTTTGAAGTTTGAGAAACTTCATCTACTGGGAGCCTGGGAGAAGGCGGATCGGGCGACCACTGCCCTTTAGCAGCGCCACGCCCATTCTCAACGACCACAACATCAGGAGGATCAGAAGATTCATATCCGCCACGATCACTGGATCCAAGAGTGACTGCTTGCTGCGCTAAGACTTGAAGAGCACTCATTGCTGTTTCGACAGGAGAGTTCGGTGTAGTGACAGGGGCCCCAGGCTTGGCGCGGGATTCTGTTTCGATGCGTCGTCTCTTGGTGGGCGTGGACAATTGCGGCTCATCGTCATCATGGTCGAGAACCCGTTTTGCAGCCATGAAGAGATTATCCAAACCACTCGTACTTGGAGTAGCGTCCAAGCTCCTGTGATTATGAACAGGAGTTGAGGGAGTTTTCTTACACGGCGAAATCCCAAACGTGCTGGCCGTCTTCTGCTTCTGAGGAGAAGCTCCGGGTGCTCCGGAGGCACCGACCACGACAGCCGCGGCCGCTGCGGCAGCATTAGCAGCAGCATTTGGGCGTGGAAGCTGGTTCCGTGAGGTCGGAGGGATAATTGTAGGGCTGAGCAGAGAGGAGCATAGAGGAGTAATAGATTGCACAGAGCCAAAAATAGCGGAAATCCGGGGCCCCGTAGGTGTTTGCGGGCTGACGAGACGATGCAATGGGTAGGGGCTGGCGGGAAATAACATTCCTTGGTCCACATTTGCACTCGCTGAAGGGCATTGCAATGGCAGAGCGATGCGGGCGACTCGTTCTCGTCCCAATTTTCGGGCGACTAGCAGCATATGCTCGCTGCGAGCATCACCAAGGATCGGCAATTCAGGCCGCCCATATCTTGAAGTCTGCTTCTGGGATAAGATATCAGCCGTTGGTTCCTCCCCCGCCACGTCACGATGGGTAAACGTTTTCGATCGTGGCTTGGCGGTTCGTGGGGACGGGGAACTTAATAGAGACGTTTGAATGGGTCGTCCAGAAGCTTCACAACTTGTGTACAAGAAGAATGGACGCAGCGCGTGGAGTTCAGCCTCAAGCTGGTCGAGCCTTGTTTGCGTATCCCGAAGACGCTTCCGAAGAACTCGATTTTCTGAAAAAATACTACGGTTTTCGCGCTCGAGTTCCTCTAGCTTGCTGACACCCTCTTTTTGCATGCGGATAAACATTGCATCCATAAGCCTATGTGACGCGAACCTTTCAGCTTCCCATCGTTCCCGCTCTTGCGCGTGTTGCTGGTTGATAACATCCGTATACGTGGACAGCTCCGAAATCACCTCAGCCTGTCGAATGAGTTGGGATGTATGGAGGCCACTCCTGGCACGCAGGAGACGCAAAACCTGGAGACTAATGAGTTGTGCACATATAACCGATGGAATGCTAACCATGTCCACTAGCACGCGCTCCCTATGCGTTGCGTCCAAGTCTCCTGGCGTGGAGGTTGAGAGATACCCCATATCTATGAGTTGCCGGCGCATAGTCACTAACTCTTCTTCACCAATGCTACAATCTACGTCGCCATTAGGCTGTGGTGAAGGCGAATGGCTGAATGAGGAGCGAATGAGATCGGAAAACTCTAGTGGAATGGGGTTGCCGGCCATTTGTTGACGCCCAACATGCGTCGGAGTCCCAATCGAAACTCCGATGACGCGTAAGGGTAACGTGACTTAAGGACGGAAATTGCCCAGATTTGTGTGACACTTGTGCTTGTTGCCCAGGGTGTCGGCATTTCCCGGTTGAAAGGTAGGGTTCACGGGGGGCAATGTTGTTGGGTCCGATGGCACCTACTACTTACTCGTGACCCAATGAATATAAAACGGTATGTGGGGGTTGCCAGTCAACCAACCTTCTTAGATAGTGGTAAACCATCTGAGTAGCTGCACCGATGCTCTGGTGCACTGAGAGAAAAATATATTGCGCAACGGTCCCCGGTCAAATGTATTGCCGGCATCGACTTCCGTTGCGTCATTATCGTCACCGACGTCGTCTACATCACCAAAGTCATTCTTCATCTGTTTTTTTTGTTCAACTTGTATTTTACTCATTTTCCTTACTGTCAATGCCATGTCTCATTGTTGCCATTGCTGTCAAGGCTTGATAAACTAGCGATTACATAGCCTCTAAATCCATATTCTCTAATGCGTTCACAATTCTTCCAATGACATGGTGATAGTTAGGGTTAGGGCTCCTAGCGGATCGGATGATCTGCGGATATCCACAACCGCATCCGGAAATTCACGGAACCGGTTTTGGATTTTCAGAGGAAAATATCCGCGGTTTTTAATCCGCAGATTTGCGGATTATCCGCAGTTTTATCACATGATTTATTGCTTGCAGATATGCAGGAGATCTGAGGCAAATAGGGGTGAAATTCCCCATATTTACTGTAACTCTTACCCTATTGTGGCTTTTGAGAGGATAATATCCGCGGTTTCTAGTCCGCAGATAGGTGGATTATCCGTGGATTAAATATATCCCACTTTCCTAGATACCGCTCCTATGTTTCCATATTTTCTCCCAATTTTTTCAAGTCCTATCTAACCACCCAGGCCCGTTATTTCCAAATTTGGCATCTGACACCCATCTTTTGTGCCATTTTCCCCATATCTCTGTCAGTTCTCCACCAATATGGACATATTTGGTGTTGTTAGAAAGCTCTCATCAGGGCCGTTCTAACGAAATATAATTTTGAAACGTATTATCTATAATCCGCGGTTGATCCGCATATCCACGGATTTCTAACTGCCGGATACGGTTTTTGTTTCAAACCTCTAAAAACTAGAATGGCTGCTGTGCTGCCCTGACCTTGCTTGCAAGACCAGGTTCTGTATGCGTGTATGGTTCGCAGGCACAATTCATTCACAAGATTGAATAATAATTGGGGCAATCAGTGGAAGAATAGACATTGAATATAACTATGAGATGCAACGAGCATGTAGAGTTAGAAAGATCATCAGCAAACCACTGAGGTTGATAGAAGCGATTGAAATCATTTCTATTTGCTGTTTCATGTAACCAATTCCAGAACACGTCCGGATTACTAGAAGCCTTATTGATTCAATTTCAGCATGGATTGAGGTGATATCAAGATTCAGGCCATATTAGAATGTTACAAGGTGTCTCGTGAAGCAATCTCTCAATATTGACATATTTAGAATGAGCACGAAAATCAAAATGATTATTATTATCGTTATTAACATTAATCAGTCTCCAAAATGATAAAGTCATCGTTGTTCTCACTGAGTCCGAGCTTCGTGCTAGAGATAGAAATTGAGAGCAAATAACTGTCAGGAAAGGATATATCACCCACAGCGCTCTCTGACCATATTCCTTGGAAATCCTATTCCAATCATCCACACGGTCTGGTTTGGTTCTCCATTGGTTGAGGGAAGCCAAGATCTTCGCCCAATCATTGGAATGCTCGGAAGAAGTAAACTCTGATTGGGGTTCAGCAAGCGTTCCAGACTTGTACTGGTTCAGGATATATTTGATCTAGAGTTAGTTTTATGAGTATATAAGTTAGAATTTCACTAACAATGCCAGCTGCAAACTCATGATTGTCAGTGCATAAGCAAACACCTGAAGACCCAGGGATTGCAATTTCTCCCTCAACTTGACACTGGCCAAAGGAAGAACCGGTTTGAGCTCCTTGAGTGCGAAAGTAAAGTCCAAAACCACTGTGACTGCTGGGTGCTCCAATGCACCGGATCAGGGCTGGGGGTTTCCAGGGAGCAAGAATTTGAGTCTTACATACACAGGAGGATATATTTGGTTTTACATTACTGGGATTTGAGCTGTATGTGCAAAATGCAAAGTTTGAATTAGAGAGTGCAAGCTTGACATTCTCTTGGATGGTGACTCTGTCTATGCTAGGTCCAATTCTGTAGAAGGGAGGGATTGTATTCACAAGGTGTTTCTTGACCTCCATGACTTAATGTCGCGAACAAGCTGAGAGAGATTCGGCTGAGGTACGCAACAAAGTGGAAATGCACTCACTGTAGCTACGACACTTTTCTGTATCTCAAATGGTGAAATCCCTGATCTGCGGAAGGTGTCATCGGCTAGCCTCTGAATGACCACTTTGCAGTCAGTATTTTCTATAAAGAGATTTTTGATTATCGCCAGCAAGTAGAAGTCACCACGTATATATATGTTCAAAGACTGAGTTCAGCCTCGGGTCCATCTTCATATCTTTCCTCAGGGCTGCTTTGGTATGGCCAGCGACAACAACTTTCTCCTCCTTGACATCTTGGCAAGTTCCGCCAGAAGTACTTTGGCTAGATGTTGGGGCCGATGGTGTATCAATATCACTGGCTGTGTCTTGCCAGCATGCGGGATCTTCCGTGTGAGTATCACCGTCATGATCCTCGCAGTTGCCATTAAGAACCAGTGGCGATGGTTGGCAGCTGCTTGGAGTCAATCTTGTGTGGCCACTGAGATGACTCAGAGCAGGTGAGAGGCACTTCCAAAAACAATCAGTAATGCAGACAGGTTTTTGGTGAGTTCCTCACATTATCATTCATTGGAGCCGGTGTCAAACTGTGTGATCTTGAGCTTTTAGAGCCGAAATAATCTTGAGTCATGACCCTAAAGGTGCTTTGCTGTGGCTGTGGCTGATAGCTGGCAGGCATGTTGATTGGCGGATCTGCAACTTGAATATCCCACTTGACCAAATTCAGCTTAAATGGAAGTAGGGCTGTTTGGATTACAATACCTCGCTGTCGGCAGTGGAAAAATCTGTGGTAGTGAATTCAAAGGATGGGGACACTAGTGATTTGAGAGCATAACTTAGTATCAACAGCGGATCTCCAATGACAACTATATGACTTACCTCCAGCTGTGCCCGAAAGAGTTGGTGTCCCATTAACCTGAATGGATGGAACAGCATTTCCATGATAGGGGACCTTATTGAGTAGTATATTACATAGTATTAATTGAGTATAAAGCCTAAGTAGAAAACAGACACACATTTGTGACAGGGCCATCCGAGTCCACAGTGCTCTTATAGCGATCATGAATGGTTACAGGGAATGCATGATAATGGGTGCGAGCTGAATGCCACTGCACAGGCTTATCTTGCACTGGGGTTGGCTGGGTTCCACATGGCACTGCTTCCCCGTTTGAAACTGGGAGTATGACTTGCGCTATCAGCACTTCAATATATGCTAAAAAAAGAATGAAGATTACACTCGCGAGTACTCTGTGTGGCAGTGGCCTGCACAGCCTCAGGATTGGGACTCGCATCCTTAGCAGCAGCAGCTTTTGCACATCGGGTCTCCCAGGCCTTGGCAGCGGCATTGCTCCTGTTGGTCTGACAAACTTGCGACTGAGGCAGAGGTAAGGCAGGCTCTGCAACATTCTTAGAATCCTTTTTCTTCGTCTTTGAAATGCCAGATGAAGAGTGCGTTCGGCCACTCATTGTTAGACCTGAAAATTTTTGAGTTGAAATTTGAGAGGAATGTACAGACTTAAGCAAAATTTGATCACCCAGATCTTATTCTATTTCAGATTAAGTCCACTTGCTCGCACGACAATGGCTTCAACCTCGGTGCTCATTGGAAAAAATCATGAACACTGTCCATGGTGTCTTAAGAAATGCCAGCACCGGGGTGGCGGGCTGGTGAACCACCTGTGGCAGAGTATTTCATGCCAGTGCAAACTTCAGCATGCTACTCAACAGGCCAAGCACCAAAGACTTACACAGTCTGGTGGTGCTTCTCATGATTCTCCGGGTGGCCAAGCAGATGACACTTCCGGCAATGCTTCTTTTGGGGAAACAGACGAACCTGGCCAGTCCCCTCAGGTCGGACTTGGGGATTCTCCCGGCACCGACTCTCCTAGTGCTGATTTTCTAATTCTCCATGCCCCAACACAACTGAAGTTCAGACAGAGTCACCCTCAGCACTCAAGAGGCTCTGTGCTGACCTGAACATCATAATAAACCCCCACGCTGGGAAACCTCTCCATGATGAGGGAGAGACTTTGTGGGATAAACTTGCAGGGAACGAAGATGAGGGTCAGCCATTCGCCCCATTTCAGAGCAAGGAAGAATGGGAACTTAGCTATTGGTTAAGCACCGAGGGAATTTCAAAAGGTGCTATTGATTGTTTCCGAAAACTTCAATGGGTAAGCCAGCTTCTCACTCGATAGCCCAAAAAAAACCTACTTCCCAAATTAGGTTAATGGCCACCCTCATCCTCTGAGTTGGCAGGATGCATCGACACTGTACCAGCACGTCAGAGAAATGCCTGGTCCTCCTTTGTGGAAGTCAGAGGTTATCATTGTGAAAGAAGCCCCATCAGAACCACAAACCCTGTACTGGCGTGACCCTGTGGAATGTGCCCACTTCCTATTTCAAAATCCCAACTTTAAGGAGTCCATGACATATGCTCCTTCGCACCTATTTGACTCAAATGGAGACCGAGTCTTTACAGAGATGACAGCTGCAGAGGAATGGCACTATCAGCAGATAAGCAGAAAGCTTGAGAGGGAATGGATGATGCTTATCGGCACGCTTCTCCACACCGCTTCCAGTCATTGGTCAAACAAGGCTCCACAATTCTTGGCATCATTCTTGCATCAGATCGTACACACCTAACAAACTTTACTGGAGACCAGAAGATGCACACTGTTTACATATCTCTTGGGAACATCAGCAAGGATGTCAGAAAGTGACGAAATGCCCGGGCATGGCTGCTACTTGCAAAGATTCCAGTGTTGAAGTTTTTGAAGACTCAATTTTCAGGAAGCAAGTCGGAACAAGAGGTGATTCCAGGGATCCTCTCTCATCGCCTATTTCATGAATCTATGAGACAGGTGCTTGCACCACTAAGAGTTGATCAAAGGACGTACCAGATTGTACCATCACCTGATGGTAAACTTCGCCTCTGTGTGGCCATTCTGATGGCTGTCAGAGATCTGGATTGCTGTCAGAGACTGGAATATTGTCGGAGGCGGAAGTACTGTCAGGGTCGGAACACTGTCAGAAGATGGATGGAAGGCAGATTGGGTTCTGTCTGAGTTGAGGTCAGAGGTGATGCAGAGGTCTGTTGGAGTGCGCGGGCGGATATGCAGGCGGAAATATGCGGCACGTCCGGAAGTGCTGTTCAAGGTTAGCAGAGTGGGATCGCGGCCTCAGCGACTCAGGTGGAGCGCTGTGCCCTGAGCTTGACGTTTGGGAGATCCCGTATTTACAAACTGACACTTACAGCAGACTTCAAACAAGACTTGCGGGCGGAGTGGACCTGTAGGAGGAGCGCGGACTCCATGAGCACGGACTCAGAGGGGGGAAGCCCCCTTTGCAGAAGGAGAGACTCAGACCAGACAGGGGGGGTACTCTAGTTGATTTCAGACTGAGGTCCCCAAAAGTATTTACAAGGTATATAAATAGGCAAGAGGGAATATAGAAAGGCCGGTCAGTCCGGTGCGGTCCGGCACAGAGATAAGCGGGGATTGTCAAACTAAATAAGGACAAGAGCCCGGGAACTGGAAATGAGGAACAGATCAATAAACAATAAGTGGCAAGGGTTATTGATGAATAACTGAATGAGATCAATAACCTAGTGCCAATAAAGAGGGGATCAAATGCCGATATTGGCAGGGAAGCAAACAATAAATGGCACTCAGCAAGGAATGAATGATAAGCTGCCAAGTGACAAATGGCCAGAGGAAAAGCGGAGGTCAGCGTGTGGCATTGATACAAGTCCGCAAATCAGGATGCGGGGTCGGTGCGATGCCGACACAAGTCTGCAAAGGGATGCGGGAATCAGCATGGTGCTGATGAGTCCGCAACAGAGGGTGGTCTGTCAGTGCTGTCATAAAAGGACAGCATGATGGCCAGCAAGATACGGAGGGGAGTGTTGACCTGACCAGAGGTGTCAAGGACAACCAGAAATGGACAGAGGTTAAGAGGGGGCCTAGGGTTCCAGGGTTTGAAAAATCCCTAGGGCAGGATCCCTAGCCCTAACCTGGGTCATCCTGCCCTAGGGTCAAAAAATTCCTAGGGACCAGGTTCAGCTTGCCCTAGCGCTAGGGCATCAAGCAGTAGGGCACTCTAGCAAGTTTTACTTTGGCTTGCACATTTCTGTTCCCCCTGGAGGAACAGAGTATGCACCACCACTTGTGTCACAATATTGTAACAAAATGTTGTCACAGATGCACTTCTGTTCCCCCTGGAGGAACAGAGTATGCATCACCGCTTGTGTCACAATATTGTAACAAAATATTGTCACAGAGGCATTCTGTTCCCCCTAGAGGATATGCATCACCGGTTTGGTCACAAAAATTGTGACACAAGCCGTCACTGCATTTTCTGTTCCCCCTGGAGGAACAGAGTACGCATCACCGGTTTGGTCACAAAAATTGTGACACAAGTTGTCACAGATGCACTTCTGTTCCCCTTGGAGGAACAGAGTATGCATCACCGTTTGTGTCACAATATTGTAACAAAATGTTGTCACAGAGGCGTTCTGTTCCCCCTAGAGGAACAGAGTATGCATCACCGGTTGAGTCACAAAAATTGTGACACAAGTTGTCACTGCATTTTCTGTTCCTCCTGGAGGAACAGAGTGTGCATCACCGCTTGTTGTGTCACAAAAATTGTGACTCAAGTTGTCACTGTATTTCTGTTCCTCCTGGAGGTGCCAACACTCCTTCTATTGCAATAGGCTTTCCTCAAGATGACGAAAGCATAGTGGAAATTTTTGAATGGGCATGCATCACCACTTGTGTCACAATATTGTAACAAAATATTGTCACAGAGGCATTCTGTTCCCCTTGGAGGAACAGAGTATGCATCACCGCTTGTGTCACAATATTGTAACAAAATATTGTCACAGAGGCATTCTGTTCCCCCTAGAGGAACAGAGTATGCATCACCGGTTGGGTCACAAAAATTGTGACACAAGTTGTCACTGCATTTCTGTTCCCCTTTGGAGGAACAGAGTATACATCACCGCTTGTGTCACAAAAATTGTGACAAAAAGTCGTCACAGATGCACTTCTGTTCCCCCTAGAGGAACAGAGTGTGCACCACCGCTTGTGTCACAATATTGTAACAAAATGTTGTCACAGAGGCATTCTGTTCCCCCTAGAGGAACAGAGTGTGCATCACCGCTTGTGTCACAATATTGTAACAAAATATTGTCACAGAGGCATTCTGTTCCCCCTAGAGGAACAGAGTATGCATCACCGGTTTGGTCACAAAAATTGTGACACAAGTTGTCACCACATTTCTGTTGTTCCCCTTGGAGGAACAGAGTATGCATCACCGCTTGTGTCACAAAAATTGTGACAAAAAGTCGTCACAGATGCACTTCTGTTCCCCCTAGAGGAACAGAGTGTGCACCACCGCTTGTGTCACAATATTGTAACAAAATGTTGTCACAGAGGCATTCTGTTCCCCCTAGAGGAACAGAGTGTGCACCACCGTTTGTGTCACAATATTGTAACAAAATGTTGTCACAGATGCACTTCTGTTCCCCCTGGAGGAACAGAGTATGCATCACCGCTTGTGTCACAATATTGTAACAAAATATTGTCACAGAGGCATTCTGTTCCCCCTAGAGGAACAGAGTATGCATCACCGGTTTGGTCACAAAAATTGTGACACAAGCTGTCACTGCATTTTCTGTTCCCCCTGGAGGAACAGAGTATGCATCACCGGTTCGGTCACAAAAATTGTGACACAAGTTGTCACAGATGCACTTCTGTTCCCCTTGGAGGAACAGAGTATGCATCACCGTTTGTGTCACAATATTGTAACAAAATGTTGTCACAGAGGCATTCTGTTCCCCCTAGAGGAACAGAGTATGCATCACCGGTTGAGTCACAAAAATTGTGACACGAGTTGTCACTGCCTTTTCTGTTCCCCCTGGAGGAACAGAGTGTGCACCACCGCTTGTGTCACAATATTGTAACAAAATGTTGTCACAGAGGCATTCTGTTCCCCCTAGAGGAACAGAGTGTGCATCACCGCTTGTGTCACAATATTGTAACAAAATATTGTCACAGAGGCATTCTGTTCCCCCTAGAGGAACAGAGTATGCATCACCGTTTGTGTCACAATCTTGTGACAAAACTTTGTGACAGATGCACTTCTGTTCCTCTTGGAGGTGCTGACACTCTTTCTATTGCAATAGGCTTTCCTCAAGCTGACGAAAGCACACAGATCCCTTTAGAGGAACAGAAATGTGGTGACAACTTGTGTCACAATGTTTGTGACCCAACCGGTGATGCATACTCTGTTCCTCCAAGGGGAACAGAAATGTACCACTATGCTTTCGTCAGCTTGAGGAAAGCCTATTGCAATAGAAGGAGTGTCGGCACCTCCAGGAGGAACAGAAATACAGTGACAACTTGAGTCACAATTTTTGTGACACAACAAGCGGTGATGCACACTCTGTTCCTCCAGGGGGAACAGAAAATGCAGTGACAACTTTGTGTCACACTTTTTGTGACTCAACCGGTGATGCATACTCTGTTCCTCTAGGGGGAACAGAATGCCTCTGTGACAGCATTTTGTTACAATATTGTGACACAAATGGTGATTTCTGTTTCCCCCTGGAGAAACAGAGTATGCAATCACTGCTTGTGTCACAACAATTGTGACAAAAAGCCATCACAGATACATTTCTGTTCCCCCTGTGCATCACCGCTTTTGTCACAGTTGTGACACAAACTTTGTCACAATAACTGTTGGCGCCAACCTGAACATAAAAATGAGAACTTGTAGGTTAACTTCACCACATGGCCTCCACCCTCCTCCCTTGTACTGAACCAGGATGATGCTGAGGCCAACTCACAATTGGTGATGTTGAGTCTAGCAGCGCTTGTGATCTATGTGTGTTTCCTTTCTCGGAACAGTTGCTGCCAAAAGAGTCTCTTCACCATGGCAATATTAGTGAAATTTCGATGCTGAAATTATGTCATCTTCTTTCTCAATTCTCATTACATCTTCGCCAGATCCTTTCCACATGTCTACTTTCTCCATTCTGCACTACACCCCCACCATTGTCTGCTCCCACTCTCCTTTTGTCCTCCTTCCCAATCCTCTTACATGTGATAGTGTTATTATGTATGTGCTAAATGGTGTCAACGCTCCCCTTGATGGTGTTCCGATGTCTGCCACAAGTATTCCATCGTTTGTCCTTGGCTGGTCTCCTTTTCCTACTAACAGTTTCCATAGCATCCTGATATGTCGGTCTTTGCACTTCCCATGTCAACAGTACTGTCCATTCCTTGTCATGGACTCGCATTTGCTGCGTGAGATACAGATCTGCCACCAAGTTTTGCATTCTTTCCATAGCATTTGGTCCTTCAGTTCCTTCAAATGTTGTAATGGGTCGATCGCCTTGACTTTGAGACAGAGAAGAGGGGGAGGGTTGTAGTGATGCG